GTGAGCTCTTTCTCATCGTATCGTTTGATGTCCGGACGTAGAGGTTTCTTTTCTACTACCTTCCATTTGTCCCTGACTGAGTAGATCGCTTCGTTCAACATGATCTCACAAGTCTCTTCATCAAAGGATACTTTTGCACCTCCTTCTCTTGCCTTGGCGGATGCAGCAATCCCTTCATCTTCGGATTCGTCCATGAAGAGTTCACCGTCAATGGCTGGGGCTCCAGGCTTCGCCTTAGGCTTCGGTTTGGGTTTTGCCTTGGGCTTTGGCCTATCGTCTCCTGAGTCAGCTGGTGCAGATATCCCTTTCTTAGGAGAGGCTTTTGGGTCATGGTAGAACTTGCAATCCTTCCCTTTGTCACAAGTTCCTCGAATCCACATCCAACATACTGGCTTATCATTCTTTCCGACAGAAGATCCTCTGGATGGTGATCTGGGTTTCTTGTGACTGAATGGGCAATCTTTCCCCATAGTGCAGTTACCTTTCACGAAGAATTTGCATGGTATCTTCTTCTTGTCTGTACTCGGACTTCGGCTGCGATCCTTTCCATCACCTTTACCTTTCCCCTTTCCCTTTTTGTTCTTGTCTTCAGGGTGCTTCTTGGGATTGGGTTTCGGCTTCACTGCAGCAGCGTCTTCTGAGACAACCTGTTCTTGTTGCCCTTTTGGTTTCTTCTTCGGATCAGCTGGTGCAGCTTTCAGTTTTGGAGCAGGTCCGCCTGGTTTGAGATTCTGAAAGATATTGGCAACATTCTTCACTGCCTTCTCCTTTTCCAGGATCATCCTGTCTTCAGTTTGCCGTTCGATGTGCCTTCTGATCATATCACGTAGATGTTTGTATGTCTTCTTGGCATCATCGTCGTTCATGCTATTGTAGGCGCTGATGTCGTATGCCATGAGGTTTGAGTTCCTGATCTTTCTCCATAGGAGATCCCGAAGAGTTTCGTCGCTCGGGACGTCAACGGGCTTCATTCCTGCCAGAATCTCATCCCAAGTGTGGAAGAACAACGATAAGTTCTTGTCTCCTTGATATTCTAGTTGGTAGAGGTGCATTGAAGTATATAAGACTTCCACATTTGATGTTGTCTTGAAATTCATAAGGATCAGGGCTAGGACCTCTCTTCCCTTTATGAGGCTTGATGTTCTCCCTTTTGCATTGATCCTCGTCCTCAACTTCATAGCTACACCTGAACCATCATCTTTCGCATCCATGACGACCTTGGTAAGAGCTAGGCCGAGTTTGGCATCGATTGAATGGAATCTTTGGTCTCCTGAGTCGACAAACTTGTCCGGATCAGGATCGTCCATGGCTTCTTTGATCCAGTCGATCCAGGGCTCTTGATCTGAATCATTGGCCGCAATGATGATCGATTGAATGAGATTTGCCTTCCATAGTCCAAGATCATTGATCCTGGGCCATGACGGAACGTTTATCTTTGATTCTTCCTTCCTCGATACTTTCATGATTGTAGAGGTTGCCGGTGTAAGATGAGATGAAGAGGATGCTTCTGCTTCTGAAATCTTGTCCCTCAATGATTTGTTCGCCTCGGATAGCTCAATTGATTTCTCCCTTTCCTCGGCGTACTCGTTGTGGGTTTCGGCATACCATTCATACATCTCATCTCGGCTCTCTGTCATTTCATTGTACCCGTCCTTGTAGTGCTTCGCCTCCTCTTTTGCGTTCCGAATCTCATCTTCCTCGGACGCGTGGGTTGGTAACCCGCGGTCTCTGGAACTAGGACGCTTGCTGTACCGAGAGACTATGGGTGCCATTCGTGCTTCTGCTTTTAATTTCGCATTTTCCATAATGACATTCTTTGTCTCCTTCTGGCTTTCCAATAGCGCATTCTCCAGTTCTCTGATCTTCTGTTGAATTTCAGCACCATCATCGCCGAACATAGGAGCTCTCATCATATTCTCTCTTTTCAGCTGTGCGTTGGCTTCGGATAGAGCGAGGTTGACGTCTTTCAATTGTTGTCGTTCACGGATGGAACTTTCTAGGACTTCGTTGTTGAATATTTCTCCTTTTGCGATAACCTCCTTTGCGACGTTTGCTTCGTATTCATGGTGGCTCGCCTTCATTTCTGCCATTTCTTTAGCAGAGACTTCAGTCTGGCATACAAACATCTCCATCCTCATGCCCACTTCCATCTCTCCTATCTCCGCTCTCGCGCTGAGTTCAGCTCCACGTGCCATAGCTAGTTGACCTCGTAGATGATCAATAACCATAGCTTCCTGATTGCTCTGATCTTGAGATGAGTGAACACTGTGTTGAAGACGTCTTTCCCTGACCTCACTGTTCCATTGTTCTTCTCTCTGGTGTTGGATCACCTCGTGCATGTTGACATTCTCATCCTGTAGCGCAATCATTCTAGCTTGTATCTGGTCAGCTATTCCGACGAAGGCTATGTTCTCATCCTGAATGGCTTTTGATCTTCTATTGATCGCCAATGAAGATTCATTCTGTTCTTGGATGTGTCCAATTGCTGCTTGAAGCTCTTGGGACATTCTGTCCTTCGTTGCTTTCACAGATTCAAGCTCTGAATGTTCTTGATGAGTTTCTTGCGCAAGCTCTTGATATCTCATGTAGATATGTTCAGCTGTCGATTCCGCCAAGCGTAGCTTGTGTTCGAGCTCTTCAATTCTTATTGTCGCTCCTTCATCTTCCTGTGTCATCTCTTGTAGATGTTCCTGCATCTTCCTGTTGTAGTCAGACATTTGCCTGAACTCCACTTCAGCCTCGTGGTGTAGTCGTGAGTATCCGGCTTGGATGCATTCATATTCTTCATGAAGAAAATTGTATGCGTTTCTCGCCGATCTCAATTCTTCACCCAGCTGAATCTCTCTTCTTTGCTCTTTTGTTCCTCTATCATCGTCACGTCTCTTCTCTATACTCCTTCTTGGGGATCTCGCGGTAGACGTTATAGGCGATGTAGATCTTGTTGTAGCTCTCATCGATCTTCTTGGTCCTACGGGTGCAAGATCGGTCAGATTCCGAGCCGGTGGCACGGATCTTTCCGAGATTTGTGATCCAGTAGGCATAGTGATAACGTCAGCATTTGCTGATGAATCAGTACCCATTGTAGAGTCTGGTGACGAAATGGTGTTGGGACCACCAGGAGCAGCGAATGAATAGGGTTCGCTTCCATTTCCTCCTGAGCTTGACATTGCAGGTTTCTGTAATGACTAGTCTTGTTCTTGGTCTCGTGTAGCTCGTACGGCTATAAAGAGCGCGTACGGCTGATAACCTGCGAGTGGATCTTAATCAGCGAAGTTTGAAGCTATCACTGACGGTCCATAAGCGGCGTAGCGTCGGAACGGAAACCGCACCTTTTCTAGTCGCTTGATCCTTGAGCCAAAGTACATATGGTACATATATATGTACAAGTTGCACTGTACATGTCGCTGCACTTCCATTCGCAGTATTTATGTGTGCCATGTATGTTGTGTTTTGTTCACGTCAATGGCTTCTTCTTTACTGGCAAACACAAAATAGAAACTTCACTGTTTGTCAGCATGCGTCTTCTACTTAACTGTTGACACCCTGTACGTCTCTTTTGTTTCTCCTGGGTGTCAGCAAGACTCAAATTTGCAAGAATCACTGTAGTAGCCGGTCACTCAAACTTACTCATAATGGGCTGGGGGTCAGATGTGGCAGGGTGAACTTTCGCCAATCTTGAGCTGAACTTTCGCCAAACTTTCGCCTTTTGCGGGGTAGAGTTTTGTGGCAAAGCAACCCCCCAAAGCAGGAGCAGGAATAGTAGTAGTAGTAGTAGGAGTAGTAGTAGGAGTAGTAGTAGTAGTAGTGGTGGTAGTGGTAGTGGTAGTGGTAGTGGTAGTGGTAGTGGTAGGTAGTGGTAGTGGTAGTGGTAGTGGTAGTGGTAGTGGTAGTGGTAGTGGTAGTGGTAGTGGTAGTGGTAGT